TTCTATGTTGTCAATGTGTCCAGAAGCGTTTATATTTTCGGAAATGAATGCCAATTCCACCCCAAACTCTATGGCTTGTCACCCTTTGTAGGTAAAAATTTTTCCGCATTGGGACAATGAATTCCAGGATATTGTGATATTGATTTAATTCCTATATGTCAATCTTGAATTTTCACGCTTTTTTTTGCAATTTTTTCGACAGTCATTTGTAAAGCGAGATGACAATTGACCCCTCGATTTTTATTCTTGTAAGTGTTTCGATAGCTATTTTATTGGTGAAGTGAGTTATTACTCGCAGTTTTAGATCTTACTTTGTTGAAATCCTGTTTATCTACATTATTATGTATACTATGTATGTACATAAATACATGTAATTTAATCAACCATATTAACACCACATGCATAACTAATCAAAAATACAAATGTGTATATGTGCATACATATGTACCCATGTACATACATTAGAGTGGTAAAAAAAAATTGTTTCCGAGATAGGGTTTGGGGCACCTTCCAAAATTTGTCTTCTTGCCGAAAGAGTGATTTTGGCTCACGTTCACGCATGCTCACGTTGATGGTTTTGTAAAACACGCACATTCACGTTCTGTTATATTTTTTTCAATCACGCTCACGACGCCTAGTTTTTTAATCACGCACGCTCGCGCACGCTTCTTCACCGACATTTTTTTTCCAAATTGAAACTTTATTTATACATATGTATAAAGCTTGTAAGAAAAGCTTGGCCAAACGCCTTGGCTGGCATGAACGCACTATTAATTTTTTTTACAAATTTCATAGAAAAGAATTCTCATCAATATTTATTTAAATAATTTTAAAATGACATTATCTCATATTTTTGTTTAAAAATATTATTTTATCACGGTTTTCTCACCAATCGTGTACGTCTTTCTTCTAGAATTCTGCCTGACACAGAAAAAACTCTTTCAATAGTTGCTGAGCTACACTCAGAAAAAACATTCCTTGATGCTGGGAAAAAGTATATTATTTCAAGGAAATATTACCTTGAAATGGCTCCAATGACATGGCTGCCTTGATATGAGTAAACGATTTGACTCAGTTTAAGGAAAACACAATTCCTTAGTTTTAGGAAAAATTTGCTTGTCATTTCATCCCCCGTGAAAGGAATAAGTATGTCGTTTTGCTCATGGCGTTCAAACAGTGGCAATGGCCGACAGAGCAAAGCTCTGGCGTGCTAGTCGAGATATGCAAGGTTCGAGTCCCAGAGTAGGAATTTTTTTTTTGATAATTGTAATTTTTAAATTGATTTAAAAAAAATTTATCCAATTTATTTTTTATGGTACTTGAGTATTTAGGTTTTTCCCTATATTAAATTAATTTTACTATTTGTAATTTATATTTAAATTGAAATAATTGACTTACCTTACTCTAACCACCCCCCACCGGACTCGAACCTGTCATCTCAGAACCAGAAGCTGTAGTCTTCACGCGACGCCACAGCCGACATTTGCCAGGAAAGAAATTTACTTTGTCTTAACAGCACTGACAAAATTCAAAATTATTTAAGAAAATGTTTACTTATATTGGGGAAATTATTACTTACATATATTGAGTAAATTTACTTCCTCAAATTAATGACGCCCTATTTTTGAATTAAGGAAAAACTTCTCAAATTGAGTAAATTTTTCATAATATTAAGGAAAAAACAGTAACTCTAAAATAAGGATACTGTTTTCTTGTTTTAAGGAAGTGATTTGTTCTGAGTGTAGCTGGTATGTTTAAAATTTGTCTTGAAATCCCTCTAAGTTGTGGAAAATCTTTCGCTTTTGCCAATTAGGTGTATTTATTTGTTTTTAAGAATTTTCAATTAAAATACAGTTCACGCTCCAACAAAACCCAAGTTGAAAACTTTGTAGAAAACTAAAAAAAGTGCAACAAATTTTCCCCCAAATTTCAAACTTTTTTCTCAGAAATGTTAGAATTTTTTTGCGTATACAATTTTATAGCCCATAAATTCTAATCAATTCTAATGTAACAATGCAAGTTTTAAGTAGCTAAAAGTTACTGTTGATTTTTAGATGTTTTGCCAAAAGCATTGCGATTTTCTTTCATATAGAAATAAATAGTGTTTATTCTCAAATGCGGCAAATGAAATTCTAGAAAATCAACCGTAATGTTTAGGCTCTTGAAACTTGTACATTATAAGACTAAAATATAAATGGCTATAAAACTGTACTCTCAAAAAATTCGAACGCTTCTGAGAAAAAAGTTTGAAATTTGGGTGCAAATCGTTGCATTTTTTGTAGTTTTCTACCAATTAAGCTTGGGTTTTGTTATAGCGTGAACTGTATTTTAATTGAAAATTCTTAAAAATAAATAAATAAACATAAGTGACAAATAATATCACTTTGTAATGGGGGTGCTATAGATATGACGGATACTGTACATTGGATCGTATAGAAAATACGTGAGTATGTATGTACGCTTATATGTTCATACGCCTACATACATATGTGTATTTACATAAAAAAAATTAATTCAATATGAAATCTTTATAATTCGCTCAAGCGCTACCTTTAATCAATTCAACAGTTCTCATATAGAATATAAATGTATTTTCGTACATATGTATGTACATACATACATACATAACTATGTAAAAATAATAGTACTGATAGGTGTTCGTGTACATCTGGTGCATATGACCATACATAGTACATGACAGTATGATAGTAGTATCGTTATTATTTTTGTTTTTAGCTTTCAGTGGGTGACGAAAGTAGTCATTTAGAGCTTTATTTTAGTTTTGAGTCATTTTATTGTAACTAGTGGGTTTGCAACTCCAGAGGGACACCCGTACGATAAGTTTAAAATACAAGTTTCGAAATAGAAATGACAAAATATAAAAATGTTTCTTTGCAGAAAGAAAGATGTCGAAATCCTCTTCTGCCGAAATGAAAAAGGTCGATACAAAATGCAGAATGTTAAAAAAAGTTCCCAAACTTATCTGTTATCAGTTTTTGAAAGTGATTTTAAATTTCTTTATTAGAATGATAAAAGATGAACAGTCAGTAGCATCGGAGATGCATATACCTTATGGATTATCGATTTTGTTGATTTTGCGAGAATTGATATGTATTCCTCTTAAATGGCGTCATATCACAAAAAACTCATGTCGGCACAATCATTGATATGAGAGATATGCCTTACCGATCTTAATGAGTTTATCAGGGCTTTTGCCTAATATTTAGTACATTTCTCAAATGAAAGAGAATTGTCGCGATGTGGTGCGATTTTGTTCTTTTTCTGGCTTACTGTACATTTTTAAGCATTTCTTATTTTTAATACATTTGAAATGGTAAATTACGTATTCATTAGGGCTCGTGTTTGCTTAGCGTTATCGTAACAGAACAATATACATAGATACATACATATATATTTATATACAAACAATGGGTGTTAATTGCTGATAATTTAGTGAAATGATAAATATGGAAAAATTCTGTAGACGTACTTTGAATTCGAAGAGAATCCGCAACTATGAACACATACATAAATGGCTAATTCGGCTACAAAGCACAAAACATTTCCGATCACTTTCGAGCTCTTATCGGTTTCTCTTTGTTATTTCTTTTTTTGTCGTAAATTCTTATGTCTCAAAAATATTTGATAGATTAAACGAGTTTTTTTTTTACTTTGCCTTTGGCAATGTGCTTCTAAATAATGCATTTTTAACAAGACGGTGCTTACAATGAGCACCTTATTGTCATCTAATTACACATATACAATATATATTCGCGAAATTAGGGGCCAAATACAGTAAAACTGCATTTTTAGTTTTTTTTCTCTGTCGTTAGAATTTTTCAAAAGGACCTTGAAATTTCAAAGATATGACTAATTCAAAAACAGTTTTAAAAAACTTCCGTGCAATGAAGAATGCCCATATTGGGAATCAAATTAAAGACAAAATTCTGTAGTATTGAAATTTGTTGCTTCATAAGGACGAATAGGTATTGAAAATGCCCTTTTGAAATTTAATCCTTGAATATTCTTAAAAATTTGCAATATTTTTTTTGGAAAAAATTATGTTAAGGGCTAATATACACACGACCACATCCACGAATTTCCCAAATTTTTACTTTATTGGCTTAAAAAATAAAAATAATTAAAAAGCGCTTTTTCAATACCACTGAAGCTAAATGATTGGTGTAGTGGCTAGCAGTGCGGGCTACCATTCTGCAGGACCTGGGTTCAAGCGCGGTTCAATCCAATATCAAAAGATGAAAAAACAAAACAGCTTTGGCAAACTTCCGAGTGTATTTCTGGCACGAAAAACAGCTTCTCATAAAAATACAATCGCTTTTGGGAGTCGGCGTTAAACTGTAGGTCCTTCCGCTTTGTGTGACACCCACAGTACCCACGCCACAAACCGGAGGAGAAGCTCGGCCAAACACGTAACATATGTGTATGCGCCAATCTATTATTATTATTATTATTATATTATTATTCGTCCTCGTGAACCAAAAAACTTTAATTTTTTTAACTTCCACAGAATTTTTTTGAAAATACATATATATGTATATGTAATAGGGGTGCTAGCGTTCATCTTAAACCATACCGTGCAGTATCATCTAATCGAAGAATCCATAAGATAGCGACCCCAGTGAAACCGCCCTAGAATGTCAGGACATAGCCGTCCGGTCAGGCGATGTCGAGCTCGAAATATTTAACCTGCTCGGCAGGTTATTACCTTGACATAGGTGTGCTACTCAGAGGTGAACACCGAATGGTAGTAGGTGACTTCAACGTGCTCCACCATCTTTGGCACTAAAACGTGGCAAATAGCATAACTTGGCGACCTATGCTAACACTTACATCAGACCATCTGCCCGTAATCATCTCGATCAATTAGCCCAAATTCATCGTGTATTCCATTCTTTCATGGTTTTCATTACATTTTTTACCTATTACTTTCGTTATAATAATTTGCAACTTCTTTCAATTTTGCTATATTTCATTTGCAGACTCCACACCACAATATCTGTCCCGCTATGCCTTGCGACGACACATTGGCGGTTCAGCCAATTCAAGTTTATGGATGGGCGGCAGCTGTGCCGGTACACAAATGGGAATGCAGTCAATGTTGCTTTCCCGCTGGAATAATATCAGCGAAACGCATTACAATTCTCAGCACATTGGTGCACATAGCACAACACGAAAATTCCATCTAACACGACGGCTAGGTGAAAATGCATCTTCTAAAGTAGAGGTAACTGTCAATACGATGAAGCAGAAGCAAAAAGAGAAAGTGGAAGAGATCATAAAGGAAGCAAGCACGTCAGTCGCAACAAAAACAGCGCGTGAAGCTGCGGAGCCTGGTAAGGCAGTAGCCGCAGAGCCCCCAAAAGCTGTCGTCGCTCAGAAGCCACTCACTACACGCATATGGGAGGAAGTGGTGCATTATTATCATGGCTTTCGGCTACTCGTCATTGACATAAATATTTCACGAAAACTGCTGTGGCGTGTACTTAATGGAAAGACGTTGACACGTCGTGAAAATAAACTACTTTTGCGCACCACCTCCGATCTATTCCGCCTCATACCCTTTTCGGTATTCATAATCGTTCCGTTCATGGAGTTGTTGTTGCCGTTCTTTATTCGTTTCTTTCCGGGCATGTTACCGTCCACGTTCCAAACGTCTAAGGATCGCGAAGATAAACTGAAACAATCGCTGCAAGTGCGTCTGGAAATGGCGAAGTTTTTGCAAAAAACACTGGACGAGATGGCTGTACATAACAAGAACGATCACAGCAGTGAAGAGGCCAAGCAATTCTCTGAGTTTTTCGAGAAGATAAAAGATCCCAAAGTGTATGTGTCGATGGAGGAGATCATTAAGTTCGCTAAGCGTTTCGAAGACGAAATCACATTGGATGCTTTGTCACGTGAGCAATTATCTGCGCTGTGTCGTGTGCTCGAGCTGAACACCATGGGCACCACCAACTTACTGCGTTTCCAACTACGCGTCAAATTGCGTTCGCTCGCCGCCGATGATCGTGTGATCGCGCGCGAAGGTGTCGACGCGCTTGATCTCTTTGAATTGCAGCAGGCGTGTAAGGCGCGTGGCATGCGCGCCTACGGACTGACATCGGAGAAGCTGCGTGCACAGCTGCAGGAATGGATTGACTTGTCACTGAACGAAAAGGTGCCGCCAACACTGCTGTTATTGTCGCGTGCGCTACTGATCTCCGATGAAACCGCGACAACGCACAAACTTGTGGAGACTATGCGTGTACTGCCCGAAGCAGTCGCCACGAAGACGAAGGAGAAGATTGGCGAGAGCGAAGGCAAAATCGATAATAAGACGAAGATCGAAGTGCTCAAAGAAGAAGAACGCAAGATCAAAGAGGAGCGCGAGGAAGAACGCGAAGCAGAAAGAGCGAAGATGGAAGAGGAGAAGGCGAAAGAAACCGAAGAGCTCAAAGTACCATTTGTTGTGCGCGCTGGCACCATCTCTAACGAGGAGCGTAAGCAGGCCGAAGCTAGCAATAATATATCTTCAAAGGATGTGGAGTTGCTTTCCGACGCTTTGAAATCGCTCTCAACAGATAAGAAAATGATGGTTGAGAAAGAGACGCTCAAAGATCTGAAAGAGGAACTTGAAGACTACAAAGAGGATGTTGAAGAATTGCGTGAGGTGCGCAATGTGGTTAAGGAACCATTGCACGAGAGTCGCGCAGCGAAATTGCTCTTCAAGAAGGTGAACAGCATGATTGGACACTTGGACAAGGTGCTGGTGGATTTGGAGAAGAAACGCGAGAGTCAACAAAAGAAGGCAAAGGCAACTACCGAGATAGCCGTTCAAGAGATTGCGGACGTGCCAGCGCAAAGCCAGGACCTCGTGCAGGAAGAGGATATTGTGCGCATTGACGAGCTGATGGATACCATCAAGAAGGTATGTGCTTAGTTGTACAGCAGATGTTGCTAATATTGTTGTTTGTGCTCTAATTTTATTGTGCTTTTATTCTAAATAGCTGCAAAAGACTTCAGATGAGACCCGCTTGAGGCAAATCGAAAAAGTGTTGAGCAAAATTGACGCCGATAAGGATGGCAGGATCACTGTAGATGAGGTGTTGAATGTAAGTTTCTTTGACTTTGCGTTACAAAATTCTTCTAAGTATTTACAGTTAAAATATCTAATGTTTTCAATTAAATAATTGCTACAGGTCGTAGAAGCCATCAGTCGTGAAAACGTTAATTTGTCGGACAAACAAATTGAAGAGTTGGTCACGCTGCTCGACAAAGAGAACATCATAGAGGCGGAAGAACGTTTGGAGAAGGCCATTGCGAAGAGCATCAAATTGGCCGAAAAACAGATCAAAGATCAGCAAAAGCAGGCTGAAGAACTGAAAAATTCGGACGAACTTAAAGACACTGCCCCAGAGCTGAAAGATAACGCAATGGATTTAAGTTTAGATAGCAAAAAGAACGTTTTGAAAACGGAGGTAAATATTTGGGGGAAAATTTAGGGCATATGAACTTTAATTTAATAGATTACTGGTGAATACTTTAAAAGTGTTTTGCCTGAGGTGATAATCATAGCTGGACATTCAATGAAAGGGTAATTGAGGTCGAGGGTCTGTACTGCTGCGACTTGGATGTTGTTGCGTGGGATATGCCAATCATTCCATGGGTACTGGGTTTCATTACATCCTTAAGTAAAATTTGATAGTATTTAGTCGTTGTCCTCGGGCGGTTTTAACCATCAGAATAAGGCACATTCTTAGCAACGCTTCATCTATATCGTAGCATTTGGTTTTCAAGTTGACTAGGCCATTTGTCTTCCTCGATAAAGATAAGAATATCAATATCATCAATGTTTTGATCTTTTCGGTTCTGAGAGGCCTCACCTCTTTTATATAACCATCCTTCTAGAGTTACTGCTTATCTCAACGATATGGGAAGTGAATTACATTCGAAGTTTCTTAGAAACCACCATTACACACAAAAGACACAGTGAAATTCCTGGGAATGACTTAAAGAGGTTTCCGTACTCAGATTAGACGTTGTAGATGAGCCCTGAATAGATTACGGCATAGCATTCATTCGTATGACTTCAGGCACTTTCATACGCATATTACATATTCACACATTTACATACATATGTACATATGGTCCATTTATTTTTCTTTCAGGCAAGCAACGAGAGGAATCCACTCTTGGAGGCGACGGAAAAGCAAAAAGAGAAGATACTCCCCAAACACGATATAACCGCGCAAATACCAGAGCAGCCACTACCCGCGCCACCACCATCAACAACAGCGACTAAGGTGAATCCGAAAGATAAAATGCTATGATTTGAGGATGGTGATGATAACGATAAACCCCAACAAAAGTCTGCAGATAAAAGTAGCCGGCAAACGTGAAGATGCAGCGGCAATGAATTCAAATTAACAACATTTCTAGGGTGGTTTGTCTTGTTTTTTTTTCGTTTCGTAGTGGAATTTGAATGGGTCGAGTGCAAGCGTGCGTGTGTATGAAATGCTGATGAATAGTGGATATAATGGCTGGCTGGCTGTGGAAAAACTAAAGATATAAAGTTAGTTTAAAAAACTGGTTTGATAAAAAAAGAATGCGGTATGCGCGTTGGTGTAGCAGGTTGTAAAGCAGCAGGAAGTTGTTTTTTAAAAAATGGCCATCACGACAGCAAAGGTGGCAAATAAGACTTGAAGAGTTTTTAAGGTAAAATGAAAACAGAAACTGCTCCTTAAATAGTTGTTCGAGAGTGTAATTAGTTAAATGCTATTGACGAGTGATTGCGACTGAAGTTGAAGGCAAAGATAATAAAGTAATAGTAATAGCAGTCAAAATATTACTACATAGTGCTTTCTTTTTGGTGCTGGTTTGACTTGTAGTATGTGTAACTTTTTATAATTGAGTGGCGCTAAAGATTTTCCTCTTTTTGAACTTGAAAATCATTCAGTTAATTTTTTTTTTTTTTAGTTTTTTACACTCTTGAGACACCGATTGCAAAAATGTTGAAAATGTTAAAAAAGTTTACCTAAAACTACTAATACTTTTTTTGTTGGAAAGTCGCCGCTGCTGTCGTACGAATTATTAGCAGCGCTCTTTTTTCTTCCTCATTTATATTGGGGCAATGAAAGAGAGTTTTGCGCATATTTCGGGCATTTTTTTACAAGTATAAAACCGTTCGACCGCCTCTAACAAACCATATTGAAATATATATACATACATGCTACTACTGTCAGTCTGCGTGCAAAACTCCACCACGAATTTCGTGAGGCTGTAAAATTATATATGTAAAATAAATAAACTATAAAAATTTATTTAACTTTTATTGCTCTATACGTGTTTTGTTTACTAAACAAAAATCATGAAAATATTTACTAAGGTGGTAGTTCCATTAAGCTGAAAAAAACTTCGAATTAACCTCGAAATCCGAAATCCTACTTTTGCTAATTATGAAAATTTGTATGGAAAAAGTTACGAGTTTAGAACTTTGTAGTTTTTCGAGTTTGAGGGAATTCTCTATTTGCATAATTTTTTATACTACCATATAAAGAGCATAAGAATATTGAAAAACGGAAAGTCTCGAAAACTTTTCCGTGTAATTTGAAATTTTCGTTCCTGCTATGCGTACTGTACATAAAGTGCTACTTAACCTTTTAAAACATTCTTTAGTTATAATTAATTTTCTTATTTGTTTCCATATAACCTGCATTCGCATAATTTCGATGAGTTTTAAATTAACTTAAGTGAATTGAAGTAACCTATATTGCAAAGAAATTGGTTAAAATTAGCTAAAGTAACGAATGCAAACCTTTTTGCTTACAAAATTCGCCGTGTAAACGAACTTATCTTCTTTCAAATGTTGTAGGCCGACTTTAAAATTATTGAAAAATATTTAAACAAACACAAGACCGAAACATTTTTCCGCTGTCTTCTCGTGGTATCGCGCAATTTGATTTTGGAGGTTTTGATGGCATGTTTTCAAAAAAGATTTCTCTAAAAATTTCAACTATATTATCCATCCTTTGCCTAAAAATTACAAATTGGATTTATTATTATAGTTTGATTAAAGCAAATAATTAAGTGCTAGTACCACAATTCCAAGTGAATCAGTGCGTATGTACTTATACCCGAGAAATTTTCGTTGTATGTACATGAATTTATGATTTAATTTTAATATTGTTTGTAAATTGCAAACTTGTATATTGTGAACTTGTAAAGATATAAAATTGAGTACAATAAAGTCGATAATAAAAACAAACAAAAAAATGTTTAGTAAAATGCTGTTCCAACTAAATATTCTTTTTATTCAGACAAATTCTGCAATTCACTTCCGATTGAATTTCAACCCCCTTTCAAATTGAGTTCAAGTGACTTTGGTTGAAATTCACTCGGAAGTGAATTACAGAACCTGCCTGATTTTCTGAATTTGAAAGTAGCAATTTTGCTCAAGCGAGCTTTCTTGGTCAAATCTTGTCCATTTTCTCTTTGAAATTTTATCTCAACAACACTCTGCGGAATCTCCATGCAGATGCAGAAAAAGCTAGGAGTCGAAGCGGGAGTCGAGAACATCAGCAGCCTAGCCCAACTTCCTTCAGGGTGGGGCCACAGGCTCAACAACTATCTTTCCCGGTTGAACCCAGAAGTGGCAGACACCTTCTCCGCGTGCTTATAATCAGCTCTTTTTGCAATCGACGCTTTGCTCGGTGCTTTGTGCTCGCCGCTCCGCTATGTTTTCAGCCTTAGAATGAGCCCGAGCATTTCAGGTGACCAAATTGTGACAGCGGACGCCTATCGGCGGCTCAGTTTTTTAATGGCGATAGCGGTAGTGAGCAAGGTGAGGTAGATATAGCAAGCTGTCTAAGGTAAGTGCTAAAAATTTTAAGTTATTTATGAATGGAATTTTTGTGCCATTGACCTGTGTAAAAGGTCGTAAATCAGTTCCAACCCCAGCTTGTCCTCCTTCGGTCAAGTTCTAAGCCGAGCAGACTTCGATTTCGTGGCGTTAAGAGTTACGCATGTCCTTTGCAGGGAAGAAGCTACAAAGTTCCTACAAAGAACCATTCACTCAAGCCAAAAGCAATCAATAATCTGCATTTTGACATAATGGAAACGCCCTCTAGGAAGCGGTGTTCACAGGCTGGACATGTATTGGGTATGTAAGTAGTCTTGTACCAGAGTTACGTGGGTCTTTCTGGCTGCTGAAGCTCTTCGTATGCTATGGGTCGGTGTTGAACTCGGATGACGATATTCACTAGGCGAAAGTTTGTGAAGGGGCTGAATTTCTGTCGGTGGATGTCGTTGATGTCGGTACAACTCTACCGATTTTCCAATTATCAGATGTTGCCATGGTATCTAGTCATAATTTGGTGTCTTCGGAGAAATAATTTATGGGGAATGTCTAAATGTAAACGGGTTTAAAACTCAGTAGATTGTAACGGAAAATATGCGCAATCACACCTAGATGCTAGTTTTCAACTAGGTTGCGCAAGTTAGACCTCTTCTAGGGCGCAACTCTGGTTCCGAAAATTTTCAGCATCGGCGCTAAGCGAGATTTTGACGTTATATGGTAGGGCTGGGGATATTCGTGTATACGGACAAAATTCGTATATTCGGTTAATATCCGTTCTTTTGTTATCCGGATATCCGGTTAATATACGGAAATTGGGATTTTTAAACATTTATACGAATATTCGAATAGCCGGATATTCAAAATCATCGGATATAGTTCCCAGTGGTACCAAGCAGGTTACTGAAAAAAATTAAAAAGTTAATGGTAAAAAAATCTTTTTAAAACAAGCTTTCTAAATATCACCCAAATCGCACCATAAATACGGGTTTCCCCAAATATCTCGACTCCTGCGCCACCTCACATCAAATTTTTTTCGTGGTTAATCCTTTTTATCACCAAAAAAAAATTCTCAAATAACAACGTGATAATTTTAGCCGTTTTAAACTTGCACTTCATTAGACTAAAACTGTATGGGCTATAAAGCTGCAATGTTTTAAAGATTCAGATTAAAAAGTTGATAGTTTTATTAACGAAACTGTTGAATTTTCCTAAATTTTGTATAATGTTTGAAGTTGTGATTTATATGGTTTTGGTTAAAGTTTGGATGCTATTTTTATAGAAAAATAATAATAAAAATTTAGCTCGAAAAACATTACCAATTTAAAAAAAATCAACACGAGGTCATTTGTTTGAGTCACTGTATATTTATAATCTTCGCTGTGATTCAATACGGATGCTTATCGGGGTCTGAGCCATGTCGAAAGTTGGCTAAAAATTGATTGCCAGATTTGACCTAAGCAAGCATACATACTACATACAAAGAAATGCGCGCTTCCACTCCGCAGCGTCTGGGTTCAAGCCCTGGTCAAAGCAACATCGCAAAAATATAAAAAAAGGTTTTTTTCTTAACAGCGGTCGTCCCTCGGCAGGCAATGGCAAACCTACGAGTGCATTTCTGCCATGAAAACCCGCTTCTCATAAAAATACAATCGCCGTTCGGAGTCGGCGTAAAACTGTAGGTCCCTCCGCTTTGTGTGACAACATCAAGGCGCACGCCACAAATCGGAGGAGAAGCTCGGCCAAACACTAACATATGTGTAAGCACCAATCTATTATTATTATTATTAACAAGGGGTCCCCAGGATTTTTTCAAGCCAATCAAGTTTTAGAGGACACTTTATACGTGTTATATTTCGGTAGTTGAGGTTATTTGGTTTGTCGTTAGCCTATGGAAACTCTAAAATACTCCTCTAAATCGTCTCGTCAATCTTAAAATTTACAAGTGCCAATTGCGATGGTCTCCAATAAGCAGCGAGTCGTGGGAGGTGAAGGTACCTATTCACTTATTAGTCTTAACCAACATGCAAGCTTTTCAATATATTATTGAAATCTGAGTAAAGATTTTATTGAATAAAAAATTTGCTTTTTACAAATTAGTAAATGCAAAAGAATAATATAGTTGTTTAATAGTTTGCATACATAAGTGTGTATAAATCTAAACGCTTATATTCAAAACTTCATATGTGATTTATATTAATATGTATGTATGTGCGTACATAAGTACAATTAAGAACACCAAATTACATACGCAATTGAAATTTTAGATACTCGTAATTAAAGTTGTCTTAGCTAATAATAAATTTTAGCTGCCCTTCCGCTTGCGCATAAAGTATACTTACAAAAATAAGTACTTAAACTATACTTACATTAAAGAGATTTTTTTCTGTAAAAGTGGGAAGCATTTTGAAATTCGAGTTTGATTTGAAAAGAATACTATATGTACACTCAGTTAACCGTTTGAATGGTTAATACATATGCACATGAGAGTTTATGTAATTTAAATATTTTTAAATGGATATGTTGTGTTTAAAATATTATTTTTAATATATATAAAGTACAACAGCAATTAATATATATTATAACAGCTAACTTAAAACGATGTTTCGCCGGGATACTCACTAATGAGCAGTTTTCTTGAGCGTAAATAGCCCTCAACTTGCTCGATATTCTCTTTGTTTGCTATAGTTGACCTGTTGCGATTTGCTGCTGTAGTATTTGCCGCAGTCTCCGCAGTAGACGATGTTACTGGAGGTTGTATGCTCTTCTCGAAATCACCGTTAGCAGCACGTTTACGTACATTGTTCATGGCATACAATCGATTGCGATAATAAGAATTGTGCGGTGTACAACATTTACTGCCACTTGACGCACCTCTTGCTTCTGCATGACTTAATTTTGCTATCGTTATTTTTTGAAGCACTTGCTCGTTGTGGTTGAAACTTTTGGATTGTTCATCAACTAGTATTGCATTTTCATCAGGCTCATGTCCATCAAGACAGTACAATAAACTAGGGCTCAACTGTGAATCATTCAAATCTTCGATATTTTGTGGCGAACCGAAATCATCGGGTTGGCTGGAGAACGACGAGTCGACTGGACTGGCTGTAAGCACGCTTCGACGGCGCAGATATTCTCTGTTGGTAGTAAAAAAAATAATCAATAAATCTAGTCAGCAAATTTTTTTGCCTCTTTACTCACTTGAAATTGCTGCTGAGCGCATCGACTTTCTCTACGCTGCGCTCGTTGGGCTCTAGTGATGCCAAAACTGGCTGGCGGGTGCGCATTAATCCTGCATAGCTGTCCAATGAGGTAGCGTCTTCGCATTGCAAATGTGGCGATATGTCACTGCCGCTCGCTTCCTGCTGCGAGAAATCGGCGCTACCGCGGCTATGACTGCTCTCATCTTCGTCCCGTTCACCTAAACTGGATAAATCTGTTTGACAAATTGTTTGATTTTGATCACTGGAGCTGTGTGTGGTTGTGGTGAGCACCATAACGGGTTTGCGTGACCGTGGAGTCATTATGGATTCCTGCAAATAAAATAATAATCTAATTGATTAAGATTTTATATTTCATGTACGCTTCGAAATGCGTCAAATTATATGCCTCCGTTTTCCCTTACCTGCATAGCCTTGGGCATGCGCTGTGTGGATTTGGTAATTGGCGACATTGAGCGCCGTCCAAGCAGCAGCGATGGCGTGCTTGTTATTAACTCCATATTTCTGTAGACGCCACTCTGCTGCAGCAAAAGCTGCTGATGGTAACGTGTAATGCTGTTGTCACTCGAATTGCTATTGCTGCTCCTCCCATCGGCTGACGCTATGCGCATATCCTGCGCTACGCCATCGCATTCGTCTTCTTCATCCTCTTCTTCTGGACCGCTATCGCTGTCCAAGTGATCATCGGGATTATCTTCGAAGGTTTCGTCATCCAAATCCTCCAGACTATCAGTAGCAACATTTGTTACTTCTTGCGCATGTTCGTACGTCTGCTCTATCGTTCCCATTGCACCGGCCTTTGGCAGCTCATCGTCTCCGGCCGATCGTCTACGCAGTGTAGAGGAGACACTACGAACCAACCGTTCGGGTGTGGCAAAAGAAAACTTTAAATTGCTCATACTAACACCTTTCATCAGTTTCCGCGTTAACGAACGACTACCGCTCGTATACTTTGATGCGCTTTCCTGCTCGCCAGCCCCAGGCGCAACAGTCCCATTGGCGCAACTTAAATTTGGTTCTGACTTGTAGCGCGACTTATGCTCCGTTGAAGTTTGTTGTATGGGTGTGCAAGGGTTTGAGATCTCTTCAATTTCTAACAGATGCGCCTCATCCCAAACAACTGTTTTGCGCGCGTCGGAGGCGGGCCCGTCGTCAAAATATGCAGCCTGTTGCTTGCATGCATCTGAGAGGAATTTGAGTGGTGTACAAGTAACGTCCCATCGAGTAGCGGCATATAGGTTTGCAGCACTCGTCGCCATATTACATTCCTCCGAATTCTGACGACTGACGGGCGCGGAAACGGAGCAGTCGTACTTCGGCGCTGATGCCGGTGGCAAACCATCGCTGCTGCTTGAGGAGAGGGAAGAAGCTTCAGAAACTTCGTCTTTCGTATGTCGAGGAAGTCTCATTGTACGCTGCTGCGTTTGAGACGAATACGAAAGTAGCGAATTGGATGAGATGGACTTATGTAGCGGATGCTGACTAAGTGATTTTATAGAGTATGGTATGGGGGACTGAGATGCTGTTGATGTGCAGGTAGATGAAGGTGTGTTGGTGAGCGTGCGATAAGTGGCATGCAATGTTCGTGATGATGTCGTTGACGTTGTGGTCGATGAAGATCGGAGTGGTGTGTTTGCGTTCGAAGGCGCAGGACTGCGGAAGAGTGCTCGTAATTTTGGATGCTTATGTGTATGGGAAAAATTGATGGGTGTCTATAAAATGACAAGGCAAACAGTCGTGAGAAAGGTGAAGGCGTGGGATGTAGTGAAGTACAGAACAAATAAATAAATAAATATAGAATGCAAAATAAGTAAACAAAAATACATGCGATTAATAATACACAGGCAACAAAAAAATTGTCGCAAGTGATACTTACTTCAACGCCAGCTGCGGGTGTTTCATTGTTAATAGCTGCACGTTTTGGTGTTCTTGACATAATGCCCTTATGGAAAATGTGTTTCTTGATAGAGTCGCCTATAGATTTGGCGCTGCGCGACGCATCTGTGCCCTTCAATCGTTTCATAACCACCAATTGGAGCGGTGTACCTGCCCCAAAGGGAGACAAATTAAGGAGAAATGCTTAAAACAAAACACCAAATATGAAACTTACCCTGTCCATTCTGTTTATTGAATTGTTTGATGAGGCGACGCTTTTTAGACGACTCTGGCAAGCTTTGTATATGCGCGTACAATTGTGCCAACTCAGTATCTGTGTTATTAGCCGTATGTGCGGCCGCCGTTTTTTCGCGATCTACGAAAGTATACACTGTATTCACCGTCGACATATCCGAAATGGATTCGTCCAATGTTTGCTCAGGTGACATGGTCTTCTTCCGTTTGCGTTCCATGAAATATGCACGTATGTCTGTTGATAATTTTGCAGGCATTTCGAAAATCTCTTGACCTTTGCATACCATATATGCAACAATGCTAGACATCGTTTTGGAAATATAGTGCAATGCTTCTGGCGGTAAATTCCGCGGACAAATAAGATGTGGGGCAAAAATTGTTGCCAAATTTTCTGGTGTCATTTTATTTTCGTTTGCATGTGCCGCTACCGAATGCAAAATTTCGATGATGTGCTGCAAGAGCTGGCGATTTTCATCTGGCAATAGCAGTAAAAGCAGTTGCATTGAGCTGAGCAAGTGCTGCTCACGTTTAATACGTTCCGGGTTTAAAGGGCGGGTCAGCGTGCCCGTACTGCTACTGCTTGAGGATCCAGAGCCCAAGCATAGCGGTGCTATTTGCTGATGTGCCGGATAGTGAGCGTCAGTAAGCAGCGGTTCAGGTAGTTCAGCGAGATAGCCCTTAAATACGGTGGCACAATCATGGGCCGAATAGCCTCCCGCTTCTAAATCGATTGGTTTGTCATTTTGGACTTGCTGTCGCAGTTCATTTTGTCGCGAGGCTGACCCGGTTTTGCGGAAGATGCCTTCCTGTGTTATATCTGAAATTGGTTAATGTTATTAACAGTCTCTTTGGCGGACGGTTAATTCAATTATTCATGTTTAACTTCTCCCTCAAATACATATATCTACATATATATATGTATGTACTTACTTTTCTCTAGCAATAGAAACGATTTCAGTTCATTTAAGTGTAGTAAGAATCCAGCGTTTATTTGTTGGTGTAATGATTCCACAGGACTACTTTCTGCACTGATCGAACCCTTCGACGCATTGTTTGTGCAGCCTGTTGTGTGTTTCTGCTTTTTCGATAGACGATTCCATTTCTTAAGCTTACCTTTGTCCTCATATTCGATCTCATGGCATGGTAAATCAAATCTATGTGAAATAGGCACTTTTATGCATATGTACAAAAAAATGTGGAAACTTTCGTTCGTTAAAGGTGCGGTGGGCGAGGGGGGAGTGGGCGTGGCACCTCCAAACCAACCCATTTGGAGAGGGCATGAACCGCCATTGACAAAAATTCAAGCCTCGACCACCTAGGCCCTCTATGGTTTCTTAAGGACCCCTTAAAACAATGGCCAAAAATCGCAATTTTTACTTGCGTTCACAGTATTTTTGCGTATAATTCCTTTCTGCGTAGGCGACCTTCGGCCGCGCTTAGGGATTATAACCCTTACTACGTAGAATTCTCCTTTCTGTGTGACCTAACTGGGGCTACCGCCCCAGTGATGTAACCTTGGGAAAGGATGAGGTAACTAGAATTCCCTTTCTGTGTGGTAAACCTGGGACTGCCGCCCCAGTGATGTCTATTTTGGTTACTGTGTGTTTTATAAAAATATCTTGCATATAAAAATGTATTGTGCAAATGAATAATTAACATTTTTCAAGCGAATAAACGCAAATGAAAATTGCGATTTTTGGCAATTTTTCTAAGGGGTCCCTAGGGAACCATAGGGGACCTAGGTGGTCGGGGGTTGCATTTTTGTCAATGGCGGTTCATTCCCTCTCCAAAAAGGTGGGTTAGAGGTGCCACGCCCACTTACGTTTCGCCCACCGTCCCTTTAACGAACGGCCATAAAGGAAAGCCAAACCAAAAAAATTAGTTATTGGGCACCTCGGGTAATCTACTTACTCATCGGTATTCAAGTCGAGCTCGAAGGAGAGATGCATGCGCACCAACGATTTGAATTTTTCATAATTTAATTTACGCATATGCGCCGCTATATCCGCGTCCGACAACCTATTCAAATTCACATAATCCAAATCCATTTTGTCGGTTATGGCTCTTCGCTGTAGCAGCTGGCGCCTGTGCGGGTGCTGTGAATATACACGGTGCCGGAGAGCAGCGCCTTTTCTGTACGTTTTTGTTGCTTTATGCTGCACAAGTAATCGTAGGGAAACGCGGTGATTTCAATTTTCCACAAGTTGTTCTAATGTGAAAATGTTACAAGTGACGCGTTAACTGAACACAATACTAAGTCGAGCATTTTTGTTGTCTAAAATATTATATTATTTGTGCAGTTCCCAATTAAATAACTCGAAGAAAGCGTGTATAAAATTTAAGCGAACGCAGCGAATTTCAACTGAATTTAAAAATCTTAATTAATACGGTGGCACTAAAACTAGGAAAAGGTTGAGTGGCAGTGTAATTGCCAATTGTCATTGGACTTGTCCCAAAGATAAATAAAGCAGCAACTACACCCAAACTACACCAGCTACTGGTGCGCCATCAAAAACGATTGACATTTTTTGATTGTACCAAAGAACGTAAATTCATAAGAAGGGACAACTCGTTACTTTGAAAATGTGCCGCGCCGATTTTGACGGTATCTGAAACGTTTGCAACTTTGGAATTCGTCTCCGTTTTGATTCTGTCCGCGGCAGGTTTTTGATTTCCGCCTCGAATGCAGAAAATGTAAGCAAAGCAGAGAAAAGCGGCAAATGTGATTTTCAGTGATTATTTTGCACAAGTAGTTGGGAAAATGTGTTTTTTATTTCGAAAATAAATAAATGAAAGTGTAAAATATATAATATTCGGTGAATGTGTAAAATACTGAAGTGTTTGCACATATGTGTCCATATTAATAATAAAAAGTGTTTGAAGTTCAAAGTGTTTGTCAACAAGGGCCGATTGTTGGCGTCTGTGGACAAAAATGATAATTATAAACAAAACCAATGTACTTTTATATAAAAATGCATTAGTTTAATAAGAAATCTATGCATTTATATATGTGAATGTGTGTAAAATTGAAGAAATCACAGCCAGCCAAATGAAAAGTGGCTACTCCGCAGCCTTTGGTAAAAGCCTCCTAAATTCACTAGTTTTACACGATTTAAGACTTTACGAGTTTAAGGGAATCCCCTCGATATATTTATGATTGTACCAGCAAGCTGGTGTCATGAATGGTGAAATTAGCTCATATTTTTTAAGAAAATATTATTTTCGCGAAAATTTCTTGCACTAGGAGTCAAAGCCGTAGAAGATTAAAGTTCACAATAGGGGTCTTCATTAAAAGTGATAATATGATGATATGAACGTATGTCCTCTTTCAGACACGTCAAGTCTTGAAAGCGATTTTTATCGCATTCTCTTTTGTGTTTTCTCTTTGCTTCCACACGCATATAGTTTTATTGAATTCAAGTCCTTTGTTCTTAAACGGGAAGCAACGAAAAGATCAAAAGAGACAAGAAAACTTGAAACGAATAGACGGTACGAAGGTATCTGTACTCTTCCCCTCTCTTCCCACCTCCTTCGCCAACGAACGAGCAGACTTGAAAGCAAGACTTGAAGTGTCTGAAAGGGGACTATGTATACAACAAGTTGCGATCCCGTATGAGTCCGGACTAGTCAGAAATAGTCAGAATCAGTCAGATTTTACTGGAAATCGATCCCGTACTCGGTTCTCTGACTATTGAGAGGACAAAAAAGAGAGTAAATACGGTTCTCTCTCTGTCAGAAGTTACCAGTTTTAGTCTGAGAATTTTTTGCTGGTAAATTCTGGTAAATGTGTCAAACGATCAGCTGTAGTGTCTTTGGCAACCAAATTGTAAACAAAAGAAAAGGGCACTCTGCTAATTCATGTTGAAAAGTATTTAAATACTTGTTTAAGTGGATTCTAATGAATTTGAAAGTATTTTTGGTTATTTACATGTGTGAGTTGAGTGTGTTTACATACAAAATAAGCAAAAATTTACAACCAAAATTTGGAGGTTATGTTGAAGTTGACAGATGTTACCATTTGGGGGTTGGGGCGGGAGGGGTAACTTTTCATAAAGCGGCGTCAATCCTCTTTCGTTTAGGGGGGATTTGTGGGGCCCACACCCCCTTCCCCTCCGCCCCACCCCTAAATCGTTGTACAAATAGCTAAACATTTCCCCAAATTTCTTTATTTTGCTTATGGTTAACAATTTTAATCGTTAAAACCTTTTTTTGAAGACGTCCACCAAAATATTTCGGAAAAATAATAAGATTTACGTGAGCTGGACCGATTTTAAAATACCTCCAAAAATAAAGTTTATTATGAATAAAAATAGTTGCTTATAGAATTAAAAAAAAAAACAAGTAAGAGCAGCGCTGTCTTCGGCTATGCCGAAGGCTTCATACCTTTCATGAGCAGCTGAAAATTTTACATTAACAGATTACTGCATTTGAATAAATTTATATATTCACAGCAGGCATAGATAGAGGAGATACATATATAAAAAATCATATCTAAACAATCAGAGGTATGGAAGATTTACCTTATATAGCACCAATCTAAGTGATTTCCACTGCTGTGTGATCGGTACGTAAACCGGTAACACAAATTAATGGGTTACGCTTCCTACATTAAGGAGATACATATATCGCAAAAACTGTTATCTGAACAATCAGCGGTACAAGAGATCCAGATTATACAGCATAGATTTTGACGATTTTCTCAGTAGACTTTTTATAATTATTTAAAAAATGGCTTACGAAATTTATCGGTTTTAGCTGTCCAAATAAAGGAGTTTTACAGTAAAACCCCATATCTGAACAATCAGTTGTATGGGGGCAATAAACAGGTTATAGTGACCCGATCTTTGTTAATTTTACTGTAAACTTTCTGTTGATAATGAGTGAAAATAGTTTGAAATTTCATGTTTCTAGCTGCATAGATGGAGTAGTTATAACAAAAAATCTCATATCTGAACAATCAGATGTATGGGAGCTATATGTAAAATTGACCCGATCTTTGTTATTTTCACTGTAAGTATTCTGTTAATAATGAGTGAAAACGGTGCGAATTTTGATGTTCCTAGCTGCATAAATGAAGAAGTTATGGCAAAAAATCTCATATCTGAGCAATCAGTTGTATGGTGGATATAGGTTGTAGCGACCCGATCTTCGCCATTTTCATTGAAAGTATTATTTTGATAATAAGTGACAACAATGCAAAATTGCATGTGTCTAGCTAATTAAATGGAGGAGTTATAACGAAAAATCGTATATCTGAACAATAAGTTGTATGAGAGCTATAGGTTATAGTGACCCGATCTTTGTAATTTTTACTAAGTTTTCTGTTGATAATGGGTTGAAGTATTGCAAAATTTCATGTTCCTAGCTGCATAAATGGAGAAGTTATAACGAAAAATCTCATATCTGAACAATCAGTTGTATGGGAGCTATATGTTATAGTGGTCCGATTCATCCGGTTCCGATAAATGATTAATACATTATAAAAATACACCCACCTACCAAATTTGATCCGGATATATCGAAAACTGAGAGACTAGATTGCATACAAACAGACGGACAGACGGACAGACAGACAGACAGACAGACAGACAGACACACGGACATGGCTAAATCGACTCAGCTCGTCGTTCTGATCATTTAAGTATACGTTTTAATGGGTCTATCTCTTCTTATTCTGGTACTTACAAACATCGGACCAAAGTTATAATACCATTTCATGCTCATGAAAGATATAAAAAATTCCGTCACATGACAAAAACATTTAAGCTTAAAAAATATGCATACAAATATTTAAAAGGGGTTTTCAACCGAATCGTAATAATGAGATTTTAGATGCTGTTTTTTAACTTTTTTCAACGACTAGCTTAAGAAAAACTTAAATAACTGGGCCAAAACTATTCCAATTTAAGCTTATGGGGTATGAGTGAGAAGGTATTTTCCCACTCTTTCTTGGAATGACGCCCGTTCCTTCTGTCTTTATCTATCATTCTTTGAATGGATTTATTTGTAAAAGAAGAAGAATGAGAAAATACCTTTCCAATGATACATCTAAATCGGAACAGTTTTGGTTCAGTTATTCAAGTTTTTCTTATACCAATCTTTGAAAAAAGTTAAAAACAGCATCAAAAATCTCATTATTACGATTCCATTGAAAACATTTTTTTTATATTATTATGCAGATTTTGTTATCTGAGGGGATTTTTATCAAACAATTTTTTAGGAAACTATTTTTATTGATAAAAGCTCCCATTTTTGGAGGTATTTTCAAATCGGTCGAGCTCACGTAAATCTCAATGGAAACACAGTATCGATTTTTTATAAGCTTTTTTTTAACTTGGTCATCCCGCGAATATCGCGGAAATTTCTAATCGATTTTAAACTAACTTCCCGACAAGTTAGAGGCTTGAAATTTTCAGCATAGTTCCAATCACGATGACAATGCAATTTAAAATATAAATGAACTCCCTATATGGTCCAGGGGTCTTGATTCAAAGGCGGTCAAAAAATAGTAAGATTTATGGCTAACAGGGCGTAATTTGCCAAAGAACGTAAAACCACTATAAAATTGTTAAAGCTGCCGGCGGTAGTGTAGCAAAGCAATCTGTAGCAAATTCTAGATATCAACCTAGTCTAGATATGAACCTCGTTGTAGGCATCATATCAAGGAGATAGGACTCCAGATGTCGGCCGCCAGAAGAAGTTAAATATTGCGCCTGAATATATGCACCATTTAGGTAAAAGCGTAGGTACGCTTTAGCGGAAATGGACGACACGCCATTTTTTTTAATGAAATTAACTGCTATATGTACATATGTATGTTTATACAAAACGTAAGCAAACAACATTTTGCTTGCATAGTCTTCTGTTCTCTTTCATTGCAAGCTGAATTATTTTAATATCTATTGCAAAATTTTGTACATAAAATAAAATAACACCTTTTAATATACTACCCTTTTATAAATGGACTAAAAATTAGAAAATAAAATAATGTAAAAATTTATTTTTTAAAAACAAGCTTTTATTTACAAAAGCTTCTTTAGCAAGAAAATTTTGTCAAAACTGCACCAAAATGAATAAAATAAAATAAGAGAAGGTCTCGTTAAAGTTACTAAAAGCCATTTAGTGAAAGGAGTTCTTCAAACTCTAATGAAACTTACTAACAATTTGTACTAATTTACTTCGTTTTTAAAAAAGCTTGTCGGCGAATTCAGCGAACATGCATAATTGGTTAGATATGTATATGTATGTATGCCGATATTTATTTGCCGGTTTGCTATTCGCGCGACAAACTTTTTTAAAAACGAAGTAAATTAGTACAAATTGTTAGTAATTTTTCATTAGAGTTTAAATAACTCCTTTCACTAAATGGCTTTTAGTAACT